AAACCAAAGAACATATAACAAACCTGTCCGTTTGGATGCATGTACCACTCTCTAAGAAGAAGGACTAACTGTGACTTGGCAAACTGTATATCTATCATAGACATTGGAATCATGTGGAAGGCAAGGTCCCAGGATGCGTACTGGTATACAAAATACATTAAAGTTAAATTGATACAAACGTTTTGGTATAGGTTCCTACTGATACACACAAGTCATGAAAACATACACATAAAAGCAAGTGAACGTTATAATACGTAATTGTAGGCCTATCATAGTTTGAGGACCTGTCTGTTGAAAATGTGTCAGAGTTAAATCGTACACACATACATGCACAGTGCATTAACTGCATGTATATATTAGCTACCCGCACTCCGGAGCATGCCCATTGATTGGCTCAATTTTTCTGGGGTTTACTTTTTGTTGCGGCAAAGAAAGGAATAACGACAGAGATGTAACATTTGAGCCGCGTCACGACAAAACCAACATAATGCGTTTGCGACCAGCATGGATCCAGACCAGCCTGCGCATCCGCGCAGTCTGATCAGGATCCATGTTGTTCGCTTACCAACCCTATTACAAGTAGAGAAACTGATAGCGAACAGCATGGATCCTGATCAGACTGCGCGGATGCGCAGGCTGGTCTGGATCCATGCTGGTCGCAAACGCACTATGTTGGTTTTGTCGTGATGCGACTCAATTTTGGTCATTCATTGGTTACGATTTTCTGTGGTTTCATACTGTGACAATAGGGAACGTGTTTTTAATTTTACCTACGATACAAAAGAGAAAGAACATTAAATCACTCGGCAGTCTGATTTATACTCGTACAAATTAGATAGCCTTGTGTTTAGGTGCTCGTTCTATTAGATAGAAAAATGTTTCGATCCATAGTTTGTTTTGTTTTTTTTACAAACAAAAAAATCAAATAAAATTGATGTAACTATGCGCTATAAAATCTTCTAAAACAGCTTTTCTTTGCAGTACTCTATGTTAAAAGTCTTTTTCGGAGGAAGTTTAATTTGTATGTATAGTGATGAACCATTTTTATTTCCAAAAATTGTTGAATTAAGATCAAGGCCCCGTGTTCACAAAGAAAAGATCAGGATCAGGATCAAGTGATCCTGATTTTATTTCCATTGTTTTATGTTACTAAAATTTATTGTGTTTTGCTGGAATAAAATAGTAAATATTCAAAATGTAAAAAACTGCTGATTTGCAAAGAAATCAAACTATTTGGAATAAAATTAACAAATAACAAAACAAATACAAAAAATATTCGGATCAAAATAAGGATCAATTTTAGGATCAGGATCAATATTTGGATCAACTGTAAAATGTCCGTATCTTAAAATAACAATAAATTTATTCTAAAATTTCATTAATTTGCTACTGCAAGTCCAGTTTTATCAAATTAATTTTAGATATTTTATCTATGAGGATAAAAAATGAAGAATATTAGAGGTTTTCAATTTGATCCTGATCTTGATCCTGATCCTTAAATCTTTGTGAACACGGGGCCAGACATTAATGTCTTCAAGGGTAGAACAATTTCAAAACAGTCTTATACAGAATCAGGTGATGAAACAAATTTAGATACAATCTTTGTTAATCATTTTAAGTAATTATAACATTATTCACATTTCCTCGTGTACACATACTACATGTATATTTTATAAAATTACCCATGGATATTCCCATTTATCTGGTACAGAAAGAATATCTCTGTTAAATAAATGTTTCCAGTCTCGGTTACGTCCCCATTTCTTTCTTGTTTCCGGTGGCGGCGGTTGAGTCTCGTCTCCATTAAGCCATTCTATAATAATAATAATTATATTCTTCATCACCATCATAATAATCATTGTAATAATGATGATGATAATGATGATGGTGGTGGGGGTGATGATGATGATGATGATGATGGTGATGATGATGATAATAAAGATGATGATGAAGGTGATTATGGTAGTGGTAGCAATGATGATGATGATGATGATGATGATAGTGAAAAACCGAACATTCTAAACAGTAAGAATGTTGAAAAGAAAGGGCATTGTCAAAGGCACTTGGTTTCGGGATAAAAACCCTTTTGAGAGGTTTGCTGAACTCAAATTTAACTCAAATTTAATTGTAACGCTTTTTTAATTTCAATGTCTCGATTCTTAAAACGTCATTTTTCCGATGTTTTAGTAACATCTGGAAAATGGCGTTTTTAGAATCGAGACATTGACGTTAAAAATCGTTACTGGGATCCTACATATTTACCGGACAATCAGTTTACCGGACAAAAGCTATTACTGCTGAATAATGCTTTATTTTTTGCTTCGATTAAAAAATCATACAGTCTGAATCGTACACATACTTTCTATTTCAAAGTTAATAACAACAAAACCAATCTCCGATAAATATTGTTGATTCAGTTCTTTATCTACTAACATGCCCTTATGTTTACTAGTTATTTCATGACCTGGTCATGCGGGGGAATAATCTGTTCTGCGCAGGCCCGAATATGGGGACCCTTAATGGGTTTTTTAGAAAGGTTTAACTTTTAATTCTTTTCAACGTTACCTCAAGAGACAATCGTAACATAATTTAATGATAAAAAGTTATTTTAAATTTAGTCTAAACAGTATTTATTGTTGTCTTTTACAAAGAAAGGCAAATTAAAAAAAAACATATAAGGAAACGGGTTATGCCCATGGGAGGAAATTTTAATTACATGAACTGTAAATAAAGTAGATTTTATGGCTTTTGTAACATGCTACATGATGACAAAAAGGAAACTGTATGACAAAGAACAGAAGAACAGAATTCCATTTGAATATTAAAATGTTTCATGCGTTTACGGATCATGAAAGATCAATACGTAAATTGAGTTAATAGTTTTAATTTCAATTACACCCCATATATTGGCCTCTTCATAACAGGCATGGCTGCCGTGTCTATTTCTAGTGACATAATGGGTTTTTCAAATATCTTAACCTTGCCATGCAATAGTGGTAGCTTCCTTGCTTGTTATTTAAAGATTAATTTCAATTCACGACTTCAAAAAATTTTGAAACACAATGTCCGGTAAATTGAGTTGTTTACACGATTTTTTCCCTCTTATAATGTCCTACTTTAAAGACACATTTCTACGGTCAAATGTTCAATTTCGTGTTTGATAAAGAAATGTTTACGTGCATAAAGAACCCAAAATTATTTGGGTAAAATTCCATTCTTTTTTATTATTTGAAATAAAAGCTACAGATAAAAAACTTCATATTTTGTCCGGTAATATGTAGGACCCCAGTACATTCAATCAAATTTGAGTTCTTTAAACCTCTTAAAATGGGTATTGTTACCATAGATTGAACCAAATATCAATAGGGAAACATTGAATGGGAACTTGAAATAATAAGAAAAGGTGAATTTTAGAACTGTTTCTCATTTATAATTCTAAAAATACATGCTTCTTAAAGTTTAATAATATTATTGATCTTAATTCTTATTATTATAGTCTTTATTTTTATCAAGTTGTTACAAAAGTATGTAGTTATCCCAAAAAGAGCAATTTCGTTAAATCATTTTCAATATTCACCAGGAATGATTGATTTAACAGAAATGAAAACAAAGTTAGAATCATTTGATCCAAATCGTAAATATTTTCTTTATAAAAACACTACCCAGGAGCTGTAAATTATAAAATAAAACTAGCAGTCATAAAATTCATCTGAAACTTTAGTGCCAGTAATCACTCTCTACAGAGGGACACGTGTTCTTTATAACTTATATTAAGATATACATTTAGATATCGTCTAATATAAAGTTCATTGATTTATTATTATAGCGTGAATAAATCATTATAAAGTCTAACCTTTTTGTATGTAGTAATAGAACTGTTTCGTCCACAATAATCCAGCATATGCCTGTCTCGCTATCAGCCGTTCTTGTTTACCTCTGCTTGGAATTACCTGTAAATGTACATACTCATCTCACAAAGCAAATCAGTAAAATGCCATAAAAACACTAAAAATCAAGACCGTTTGGTAAACATAAATGCCCACGGCCCACATTCTTACCATTAACAAATTTTTCTAAAGGTTTGCCCAGTTTTACAGTTTTGCTGAGTTTCACTCAGTTATGGAAGAATAAATAAATAAATAAACGTAAACACAGTTATATAGCTTGACAAAGTCATGAACTTTTGTTATTGTGAAAATGTCATTGCCATTGGATGAAGTTGAAAGATATTCAACTTACCAAAAAAGTTTTTTCAAATTCAATTAAAAGCAAAAGAATTAAACCCAGTGACCCCAAAGTCTACCCACACTTAAAAGACCACCGAGTGAGGTATGTTCCTTCCAAATTTGAGACGTTGGTAAAAAGGCTGCAGCATAAAAGAAAGTGTAAGACCTAATGTGGCTCCAACACAAGACCATGTTTTTTTCAAGAGAGCTTACAAATTTAGTATATAAATAAAGAATTCTCTAACTGACCTCATCATAAAACAAATCTGCCTCCACAATTCTTTGCTCAAATACTCGATCAAACCAGTTTGGAGCAAATGTCTGTTGTGCTGGTGGTGACTCACCACTTTGATACAGCCTCACTTTGATGACAGCTTCCTCTCCAGGTTCAAGGTCAAGGACGTAATGGCCGGCACATTTTGTTCCGAAGTTTTTAGGATTTACTTTTTCTTTCATACCTTAAGTATAAAATATAAAAAAAATCAGTCGGGATTTAAGAGATAAACACATGAACAATTCATGAAACGTGCATAAATATATGTAAGGAAAATACACATGTACATTATTTATTAATGGGAACATTTTCAATATGTATTATAAATATTGATAAAAACAGTAGAAATACATCTATTGAATATTCTTATCACATATTACTTGAAACAAATGTTGATTTTGAGTTTTAAATGAATTAGTATGGACATTTACATGATGAATAATAAATAATATTTTGTCATAGAAAATTTTATTTTTGTCTGCTGTATTTAGATGCAAATGTATGTAGTATCGGATCATCACGATCATATTTTCATAGTTAATTGTCTTGTATGATACTTAATACTCTAAGAAGTGAAAATGAGACACATAATTCCCTCAACAGACGCATGTTCTATGATTATGTGGTCATTGTCATTTCATTTTCAAGAAACTAAGCTATTATAACTAACTCAAGACAAAAGCAAATAATATCCCACATTTTTTACAAACCGTTTATAACATAGTCATGAAATGCATCCTTTTGATATTTTGATCTATTTTTAACACCATACAGTTTCATGTAGTTCGTCTCATTGTCGGTAAACAATAACGGTACCTCCTTTCCCTTAGGGTGTGGTCCATATTCCATACGAAATATCCCTGTAAAGATAAAAGACAATATCATGGAAAAGGTTACCATGTAGAAAAAATAGTTCCCCACTTTCAAATTGTAAACGGCTTTCATTGAGCCGCAAAAAATGAGAGATCGTCTACAAAAATGAAGACACCGAATTCTTCAGTCTCGTGACACCGATGACAATTATGGATCAGCAGACGACAAGGTGAGCCTGTATTTATATACATTATTTCAAGACTCCATTCTTCCAGTTAATGAATATAATATCTTTATCTCATATAAAGTTAGAGTGGTAATAGTGAAACATAGGTGTATATTTAATACGCTAGTGCAAATTCCTATAACGGTTTACTCTTATCATTTCCGGGCCCGTGAGGAAACTATTACGCTGGCACGCATGTGCAAACATGTGCTGCTAAACCAGTGTTCAACTGTCTTTTATCATCAGTAAAGCTAGAATGTATATTTATTAAGTGTCGTTGTTACAAAAATACAGCAAATTAAAAAAAGAAGGAAGTTTACCTTCATCATAGCCATTGACAGAATGCCCAAGATTGAACAAATTATCTGTACCCCTGTGCACCGGTTCTAAATCTTCAACGTATCTGTCCATACTGTTTAATCTTGCCCTCTGTTGGGACTCACCTTCAATGTTTTATATTAAATTATATTATAACATTACAAAAGTTATATGATTTATGAAAACAACAGGAATTATAAAGCATCAACAAGAGCAGTCGGTAAGACAGCGAGATCGACCACGCTTGATCAGTGCTTCATAGTAAATAATGTAGAATTAGAAAGGGCTATAATTCTGTCAAAATCCATTTTAGAGTTAAGGGCCTTGGTACGTGCTCTCGAATAAAAGAATGACGTTTCAACCTATTGCTTTCAGTACATTTTGAGAGACCAACTTGCACGCAAAATCATAACCGAAGTGTGACGCTGGCGCCGGCGCCTATGTGTGTACTAAAACTCTTCCTATTCTTCGATAAGTTGAGCTAATTATAGCATACAGGATCTTTAACCTTTTCCCTTATATAAGCGTGTTTCGACGGCTTTTTGCCCCCCCCCCCTTTTTGAGGCCTCAAACAGTGAAAAAATGCCCTATTTAGGCCCCAAACACTGTCTTTCGTTTGAGAAATGTTGTTAAAAAAAGTGACCATTTTTTCGGCACCGTCCCCCATCCAAATATTACATCAGGGGGTTGCCAGAAGGGGGATGTGCCCCCTTCTGTTTGGGGGGTTTGAAGGGGGGCGGAGTCCCCCTCATCGCCAAGAAAATTTTGGACTTGTGAGAGGCTTAAAATGACCCCAGGTCGATCATAAGGTAACGTGTAACCAACGCTGAAAAGCCTTTGACTCTATCTCAATCCCTTGAGAAGTTGCATCACTTTGAAATAAATTTTGATGGAAAAAATCGAGGCAAAAAAGTGATTTTTGGCAATTTTGAGATGTCCCCTCGTTGCCATGGTAACAGGAAATTTAAGACTGAGCATGTCGTTACAAAGGCAATGGTCCAGTCAACATTTGTGCCAAGTTTGATTAGTATTGAAGCATTTTTCATAGTTTCATAGCAGTTTGAACTTGTAAGAGGAGGCTTTTCAGTGAAAATGGCCATTTTTCACAATATGCTCATGGGGGAAAGGGTTAACTAAAAAAATTATAAATGTTACAAAACAACAATTTTTCACCAAAATTAGGTAAAAGACCACATGTTAACATGGAAAAACTAGATTTTGGGTGATTCCAAGGTTTTTCATCATTTTTTGTTAACCTTTTCCCTTATATAAGCGTGTTTCGACGGCTTTTTGCCCCCCCCCCTTTTTTGAGGCCTCAAACAGTGAAAAAATGCCCTATTTAGGCCCCAAACACTGTCTTTCGTTTGAGAAATGTTGTTAAAAAAAGTGACCATTTTTTCGGCGCCGTCCCCCATCCAAATATTACATCAGGGGGTTGCCAGAAGGGGGATGTGCCCCCTTCTGTTTGGGGGGTTTGAAGGGGGGCAGAGTCCCCCTCATCGCCAAGAAAATTTTGGACTTGTGAGAGGCTTAAAATGACCCCAGGTCGATCATAAGGTAACGTGTAACCAACGCTGAAAAGCCTTTGACTCTATCTCAATCCCTTGAGAAGTTGCAGCACTTTGAAATAAATTTTGATGGAAAAAATCGAGGCAAAAAAGTGATTTTTGGCAATTTTGAGATGTCCCCTCGTTGCCATGGTAACAGGAAATTTAAGACTGAGCATGTCGTTACAAAGGCAATGGTCCAGTCAACATTTGTGCCAAGTTTGATTAGTATTGAAGCATTTGTCATAGTTTCATAGCAGTTTGAACTTGTAACAGGAGGCTTTTCAGTGAAAATGGCCATTTTTCACAATATGCTCATGGGGGAAAGGGTTAACTAAAAAAATTATAAATGTTACAAAACAACAATTTTTCACCAAAATTAGGTAAAAGACCACATGTTAACATGGAAAAACTAGATTTTGGGTGATTCCAAGGTTTTTCATCATTTTTTGTTAACCTTTTCCCTTATATAAGCGTGTTTCGACGGCTTTTTGCCCCCCCCCTTTTTGAGGCCTCAAACAGTGAAAAAATGCCCTATTTAGGCCCCAAACACTGTCTTTCGTTTGAGAAATGTTGTTAAAAAAAGTGACCATTTTTTCGGCGCCGTCCCCCATCCAAATATTACATCAGGGGGTTGCCAGAAGGGGGATGTGCCCCCTTCTGTTTGGGGGGTTTGAAGGGGGGCGGAGTCCCCCTCATCGCCAAGAAAATTTTGGACTTGTGAGAGGCTTAAAATGACCCCAGGTCGATCATAAGGTAACGTGTAACCAACGCTGAAAAGCCTTTGACTCTATCTCAATCCCTTGAGAAGTTGCAGCACTTTGAAATAAATTTTGATGGAAAAAATCGAGGCAAAAAAGTGATTTTTGGCAATTTTGAGATGTCCCCTCGTTGCCATGGTAACAGGAAATTTAAGACTGAGCATGTCGTTACAAAGGCAATGGTCCAGTCAACATTTGTGCCAAGTTTGATTAGTATTGAAGCATTTGTCATAGTTTCATAGCAGTTTGAACTTGTAACAGGAGGCTTTTCAGTGAAAATGGCCATTTTTCACAATATGCTCATGGGGGAAAGGGTTAACTAAAAAAATTATAAATGTTACAAAACAACAATTTTTCACCAAAATTAGGTAAAAGACCACATGTTAACATGGAAAAACTAGATTTTGGGTGATTCCAAGGTTTTTCATCATTTTTTGTTAACCTTTTCCCTTATATAAGCGTGTTTCGACGGCTTTTTGCCCCCCCCCCTTTTTTGAGGCCTCAAACAGTGAAAAAATGCCCTATTTAGGCCCCAAACACTGTCTTTCGTTTGAGAAATGTTGTTAAAAAAAAGTGACCTTTTTTTTGGCGCCGCCCCCATCCAAATATTACATCAGGGGGTTGCCAGAAGGGGGATGTGCCCCCTTCTGTTTGGGGGGTTTGAAGGGGGGCAGAGTCCCCCTCATCGCCAAGAAAATTTTGGACTTGTGAGAGGCTTAAAATGACCCCAGGTCGATCATAAGGTAACGTGTAACCAACGCTGAAAAGCCTTTGACTCTATCTCAATCCCTTGAGAAGTTGCAGCACTTTGAAATAAATTTTGATGGAAAAAATCGAGGCAAAAAAGTGATTTTTGGCAATTTTGAGATGTCCCCTCGTTGCCATGGTAACAGGAAATTTAAGACTGAGCATGTCGTTACAAAGGCAATGGTCCAGTCAACATTTGTGCCAAGTTTGATTAGTATTGAAGCATTTTTCATAGTTTCATAGCAGTTTGAACTTGTAACAGGAGGCTTTTCAGTGAAAATGGCCATTTTTCACAATATGCTCATGGGGGAAAGGGTTAAACTATGAAGAACCTTTTTTGGTGTAACTGCTAAAGTCTGGAATAATTGAAATAAAAGATTTAAACACACAAATGGACGATTAATAACCATTAGTAACTATGTTTCATTACTATGTAGCATTACTATGTAACATTAAATTGTAGCATTAGATCTACTATGTAACATTATTATGTAACATTAATATGTAGCATTACCATGTAACATTACTATGTAGCATTATTATGTAACATTAATATGTAGCATTACCATGTAACATTACTATGTAGCATTATTATGTAACATTAATATGTAGCATTACCATGTAACATTACTATGTAGCATTAATATGTAACATTAATATGTAGCATTACCATGTAACATTACTATGTAGCATTAATATGTAACATTAATATGTAGCATTACCATGTAACATTACTATGTAGCATTATTATGTAACATTAATATGTAGCATTACCATGTAACATTACTATGTAGCATTAATATGTAACATTAATATGTAGCATTACCATGTAACATTACTATGTAGCATTATTATGTAACATTAATATGTAGCATTACTATGTAACATTACTATGTAGCATTAATATGTAACATTAATATGTAGCATTACCATGTAACATTACTATGTAGCATTAATATGTAACATTAATATGTAGCATTACCATGTAACATTACTATGTAGCATTAATATGTAACATTAATATGTAGCATTACCATGTAACATTACTATGTAGCATTAATATGTAACATTAATATGTAGCATTACAATGTAACATTACTATGTAGCATTAATATGTAGCATTACAATGTAGAATTACTATGTAGCATTACTATGTAGCATTACTGTTAACATTACTAAGTATATACCTAATGTTGGATGTTCACATCTCACCATGCCCGCGGGATCTTTATTTATATGTTGTACCATAGGTTTAACTTCAACTGAATTCTGAAAAAAATATTATATTTTTAAAACAATTAACGAAAATATAAAGAAAATAAAAATGATCTTCATATAACAGTCGAGACCTTATTTTAAAACAATCTTACAAAAGAAATAAAAAAGATAATGTTACACTTTCGTGTAATTACTACAGTAAAACCTCGGTAGATCAACCCCCTTGAAAGACAAAGATTTTCGGTCGTTGCTGAGAGGTATTGTTTTAGACAGGTATTAATTTATTTTAAAGCCTTACTTTGAGTATCATTGATATTGTTTTTGTAAGAAGGTTATTTCTCTTGAGAGGGCCGCTCTCCAGAGGATGAACTGTATTTCTATGAAACACCTAAAACCCTATCACCCACGGAGTTAGGGCTGTTTTGCAATTGACACATATCTAAGGAGATGTCTGTTATATTTCTTTATTTGTTCAATTTCTGTAATCCATTCTTTACAGATTCATAAAACTATCATGAGTATGGGTGTATTGATGGGGATACGCTTATTGATGGGGATATGCAATGTTTTTACAATATTTCACTCACTTTATCAAAGTCTATCGTTATTGAAAACTTTCAAATAGGAGAAGAAGATATATTGTTGTAGACATTACGTCATCAATAAAGTATTCACGACAAACGAACAAACTCAATTTATAATTTATGATAATCTTGCTATTAGGCTAATGGACACGTTTGTCTTTCAGACTCGACATGTCAAAGTCTTATATATTACCACGACAGATATTCTTAACAGTATAGTTAATTGAAAAGGTGACTTGTAGTTAATGACTTAACTTTCCTTCTTTCGCGGGTTTTGGAATAACGGCACGAGACAGAGAGACTTAATTAGTCTATAAGAAATGTAAATGAGGAGAACATTATTTCATCTCACTCAATGAACACTCCTGAGTCCGAAAATATCCTGCCAAACCAATTAGAATGCTGTCGTTAAATGACCATTTTATACACACTGCAAAATGACCTCCTATAGCGTAGTAGTCAGTAAAGCAAAAACATACAAACACAAGTTTTTTATGATGAGATTTTTACAAATTTTTCACAGTGACACCGACCAAAGCAAAGTTCGTTCAATTCCGTATAAAATTTACCAAATGTATGTATTGTGATAAGCAATGATTTTATGTTCATCCAAAAGTGATATCACCGTTCATTCGATTTTAGTAAGGCATGAAAAATGCCGGTAAATGCCATATTTTCTTTAAATAATAATTCAGATAATTGTCTGCTGGAAAAAAATAGCACACGTTTATTTGCTTACAGAATTATCAAGAAGAAAAAATAAAAGATTTTTTTTTCTACTTTCTGGAATTTATGAAACATGCGAAAACAGCCGAATGTGTGCGGAAACACCCGATCTATCACGGACATTACTTACGTCACAATCATCTCCCCAGTCCCAGCTATTTCTGTACCACAGTGTTGGGAGAACATGTATGGTGGCCCGGTCGGGACCTCTGTTTATTATAGTAAATCGTCCAAGAATATCATTCGGAGTTCCTTTACAATATTCAGCCACTACATCAAAGTAACGGCTTTCGTTAAATATGCCTGAAATAAGCAGGGGATTATTATAATTAGGGGTTTTAAAGGAAAAACAGTTATGAAACAATCAGTTCCAAGATTCTTACTACATTTGTTTATTGTTTTATCATATAAACTTCAATCAAATTAATAATCATATATACAACATCAGCGCTATTGTCCTTCAGCAGACAAGACCAGAAATGTAGGAGATTGTAAATTTTCAAAGAATACAAGACAATATTTACTGTCAAATATTGAAAGATTAGTATAAAAAACCCAAAAAACTATAAATCATAATAATATTTTAACTGATAATAATATTTGAATTTTATTTTTTTTGCAATTTCTAAAGAATAACAACAGGACTATACCTATACTTCACGACCTACATACCATTAATTCTTATTAAAATTCTTTAGGAAAACGAACTTTCAATTGTTTTGCTATTTTCTCAAAACTACGATCAACAGTAAAATAATGACTGATTATATGTAGGCTAATATCTTCCATCAAAATTTCAAATCAATTGAATAAGAAGCGGTTGAGGCCACCGTTTAATCCTGCGTAATAGTAAGCAGTCGACTAAAAGTGTTCTAATTACTGGAATCTATGCATGTCTTAGCTCCTGCAGGTGATGTAGTTTTGACCCCTTATATGTGTTGCTTTCAGTGTGTAACACCTCAAGGTTAGCCAAACTCATCTTTCCTTTTTCGGAGTCATATGACCAAATTTGTGTCGGTGCGTCGTAAAACCAAACATGACAAACAAACAAAAAAATTCAAATATGACAACCTACCTGTATCTAACAATTCATATTCCGGATCATTGACAGTTCTTCTTGCATTTTCTCTCTCTATTTCAGCATACGGGAATTCTTTCTGTGGATATTTATAGAGTGCCTTCATGTATGAATGTGTTGGTGTGTTGTCCAGGTAATAATACAATTCTTTAACATCTTCTCCGTGATTTCCCTGAAAAAGTAAAATAAAATATATATCTTAATTTCAACTAAGATTCCGGGGTGTTGCGTCTCCCTACAAGCTTACTTCATATACGGTTAACTAATTATAAATATACAATTAACAAACAATTTGCTCTCTGAAGTGAGAACTCATTTGTTTCAAAATTGTTCCCAAAAGCATTCCTGGCGTCAAAGTCGCCGGAACTCTCGGTGTACATGCGCATCTCAATTTTACCGGTTATACACGGTGAATCCGAATTCATCGCAGATTTTTTTTTTTCATAACGAAAAGACTATAAAATATTGTCTAGGTGAATTGGCCTCGATATAAGTTAAATTTTAGTCTTTGTGTCTTACTTTTGAATATAAAATATCGTTGCAGTCGGTTCCAATTAATTCTAAAACACTTAAAACCAGTGTAAAATACTTGATAGTGTGAAATCTATAACGACTAGACGAGATAACGAAGCACCCATACATTAACAATCGGCAATAAACTATTATTTAGTTAATATTCCTTCTATTTCAGCTAGGGTAATTCGTGACCAAATAGCTGTTCACGTATGATGCGGCAAGAAAGTGACAACCTAAATTGGTCATTCCCAACAACTTGGCGGGGAAAATACGAATGTTATCAAAATACAGACATTCTATTAACTACATAAATTGATACCATATAGAAACGTTTATACTAGAAATATTTGTTTTGGTTAATTTTTTTTTTCAGATAGAAATACAGGCCAAATTATGAAAGATGTATTTTCATGTCTTGATAACACGAACAAATTGCATCATTGTAATTTCATAAAAAAACGCAAATAGGATATGCAAGATAAATATTTTGAACAAATTCTATCTACAGTGCTCGGATTCATGTTAAAGTACTGATTTTTAAGGAAATGTGAGAGAGCTTATTAGCCTATAAAAGAGAAACATTCGCAAGTTCTTGAAATAAGCAGATATTTTAAACGGCCTTCGTGGTCAATTCCTACGCATCAAAACACCAAAAAACCTCTCACACATTTCTTAAACATTTACATAGGTATCAAAAGGCAACACATTTTAAAATTAAAAGTTCAAGGGTTAAAACCCATTATGTAGATAAAAATACCTGATGTCCATTAAGTCCATACAGCCTCTCTTTAAGTATTGGATCTTTTGTGTTCCAGAGCGCTAGTGCCATACATAAACGACACTGTCTATCCGTGATGCCCATAAGTCCGTCTTCACCCCACCTGTATGCACGTGACCGCGCCATATCGTGCGTGAAGTGACTCCAACTGAAAACAAATTAAGGCAAAGGATATTAAGGGCACTTACTGATGTCGAAGAGCCTAACAAAGATTAAATATAAATCTCTTATTCTTTGTGTACCAATTAACAAAGAGAGCGAAAATTATGAGTAACTCAAGGAGAATATGAAATGATCTGGTCAGTTATCCAACTATATAATAAGTACTGTAGCCACTTTTAACGGAACGATCCGCAAAATGTGATAAAGAAATATGCCCAGTAAAAAAATAGTTCCAGTTCCATCCTGCTTAAAGCCAGCGGAGTCCCTTTAATGTACATGTATTCTACAACAAAAAGCACAAAATTTTAAAGCTCATCATGTTATTTGTATTTATTACCCCTCACATTTTTCGTAATGCTAATTTCCCATAGGCCTCTGGGTGTTATTTTTACTGTTAATGCAAGTGTACCACGTGACTAAGAATTTTGTACTGTTACATAGGTAACAGTATTTTTTAACAGTATAAAATCTGGTCACGTGGTCTATTTTCTAAATAAAATGAAATAAAATGGCCGCCATTTTTTTCTCGATTCATTCTTATTTTCGACGTTAAACCCCGATAGGACATCAATTTCTTCTCTGGAGTAACAATGACACTCATAAAATTTAGTTGTTTGCACCCTGGTGTGCTTTTCGCGTATAAAATATCTTTTTGTTGAATAGTCAAAAAGTGAACATCCGTTTTTGTATTCGCTGCGTTAGCAGTGAATACAGTTCTATCACAATTTGCGGGATTGCAATAGAAGAATGGGTACCGAACAACGCAAAGTAGTTCTACACAGATTTTCTTGTCACACACAAGTGATAAGATTTTGAATTGTCAGTAGTTCATTTTTGATTGTGTTATTTCTATCGTATATTATTTGCATGTTTTCAGGATATAATCAGTAAAAAATATCATTAGTATTCATTCGCGTTAACTTTGCGTAAGGAAGTAGTTCGTACCAAAACAAAGTTTTCGACGTGAAAGCTGATCTCATCATTTTCTAAAAACAGGTACAGATCAAAGCACTGAATGTACTGATGGGGAGGCTATGAGAGAATGTTTCAGACTTATAGTGTCTTTTCTTTTTGCTTAAAATATGCTACCAAAATAAAAAGATATGCACATTGCGCTATTTATCCTTACTGTTGTGTTCAAACATTCATATATATGGTTAATGTGGTTGACTATTCATTTTGTTAATATTCCAGAACATTTCATTGAGGTCTACATTCGGACTGTTAATCATACAAATTTTGAAAAACCTAAACTGTCAATAATAAATGACATACCAGCAAGTATGACGACTGTTCATTATCAGATAACAATAACATTTTACAACTGACGGTTCCTTATCAAAATCACAGGAACTTGAAATTCTATCAAATAACCAATATTAATTATAATATCCAAATATACCCCCTATATACTATAAAAAAACACAAACACAGGAACTTGAAATTCTATCAAATAACCAATATTAATTATAATATCCAAATATACCCCCTATATACTATAAAAAAACACAAACACAGGAACTTGAAATTCTATCAAATAACCAATATTAATTATAATATCCAAATATACCCCCTATATACTATAAAATTTTTTTATAGTATATAGGGGGTATATTTGGATATTATAATTAATATTGATTATTTGATAGAATTTCAAGTTCCTTTGTCAAAATATTCTAGGACTGTTCATCATAAATACTTTATGTCATTTTAATATTATTGAATGATAATAACAACTGCAAGTGATGCAACATTTTTATTGAACATAAAAATTATACACGTTTAGATGTACCATAATTGAGATCAATAAGATACTGTCTTGTGATGAGTATTAATATTCTTGCTCTACGGACAGAAGGTTGTCTTCTCCAGAAGCAAATCTCAAATAAAATCACGTTTCAGAAAATTATTCCCATTTCATTACTGACGGCGTCGGATAATATTAAAGCTAAATATTTCTTGAAAAAATACATATCTGCAAAGCTTATTCAAAACTGAATCAACCTAAGTGAAAATTGATCAGGAAGTTATATCTTCTTTTTTACCGCCAATACTCAACCAACTAATGGTAGTTAATCGATAGCTTGTGTATTTTTAAACCTCACTAGCTTGAAATATATACTGCGGAAAATCTGTTGTTAACAGGGTGTGCGGTTATTACGTAGGGTTTTCCCTGTCGACCATTTCCCGCAAATAGATGAGAACATCGAAGCCGTCAGTGCTATGAATGATGTTATAAATGGCGTGTTTTGGAAGTTTTTGTTGAAACTTCTCCAATTTCCTCCAGAGGCGTGCACGTCGCGGAGAAGGCACACGGAAGGACATAGTCAAGTCATCATAAGTACCAGAGGTGATTGGTTGACCTGTCGTGACTTACTCTGGAGGTTTGGCGCTAATAGATGCCGTTTTTGTTGTCGTCAGTCAGAAAGTTGATGCCTTGACGGTATTGTCGTCTCCTTTACCACCGAAGAATGGGCTTCCAGGAAGAATCTGCTTGAAAAAGACGTCCCAGATGCTATAATCTCGGACATATGGTTATTCCGGCGCCGAGTATAAATAAACTTAAAATACACTCACTTTTGTTGAAAACAAAACAAAAAAACAACAACACATTTTCTGTAGTAATTTTTCAAGTGTTGTAAAATGAATAAGAAATTCCTCTTATGCCGCCGATTATTTTTAGAACACAAACATAAAAGTTTTGTTTTTTTTTATTTTTCAAATAAACATTAATCACTTCAGCGCGCGCAAATATCGTTTTCAAATTAAAGTTTCGTAAGATATGTTAATGACTTCCCGATCCTCGACTGTAAGTAATTTGTATATGTATGCGGTTTTTTTTTTTTTTTTTTTTTTTTTTTTTTAATTAATGCTTCTTATTCTTTAATATTTTTATGTATCTCATAATCTGTATTGAAAATTTGAATTTTATTACACATGGACTATCAAATTATGATGTATGCCCTAGAATTGAATAAACTTTCTAATTACACAATATGGGGTCATACTGATCTTTTGCGTCTTTCTCTGAAATAATTATTTCTTTGTTAAAACATATTTTGACCACATATTTCTGTCAATTAACTGTTCACTTTACTTCCGATTTTTGTTGTACGGAAACACATGTTTCTATTTGTGTTTTCTAATCAATTCGAATCTATAATCAGTTTAATGGGATCACCACCGGGTAAACGACTACTAGGTACTTTGGTCATGTTTTTACCCCAAATATTTGAATGTTTTCTATTGGGATTAAAATGAGCATAGTTAAGTAAACAACTGGTTGTATAAATCCCTGACCTGTCTAATTCTAATTATGAGATCAGTGAATATATAAGACTTTCACTACAAAATATTCCTAAACAAAAGAGCACATGTTTAAATTTATTCCTATACAAATAAAAGATCAGAGTAGGGATCTGTCAATTGCCAAATATACTTTTATGTTAAAAGTTTGATTAATGAATTATGTAAGATGAAAATATAAGTATTGCTTTTTTTATTTTGCTAATGTAAAATGTAATATTGTGCTGGAATTTTGTCGGAAGGTCCTTATAGGGGTTTTGTAGTTAAATAGTTTTTTTTCGGCGATAATGGTTCAAGAATATAATGTTTCAAACTATATGCTCATCACCATCAGTGAATTTTTAGTTAAATGTATGCAAAATATTTACTAACAGCTATGATATAGCGGTTTATGACCGTTTTCCGCGTACAGCCTCCTGGGGTGTACTAATAAGTTAGTTTTCCTTAGTTATCACGCAAGCATGATCCATGTCTCTGATGTAAGCGACAGTTTACAATTATTTGTCTTTAAAAAATATTAAGGACTTTTAATGGTTTATAACAACAAAAGAACATGCATGATATTGAGAATACGGCATTGTATATACACCGGTCTCAAATATCGTCAGTAAGACCGGTGTATACAATGGAGAATACGGTGTTGGAACGTTCTAGTTAATGACCCGTCATAAACAGTTGGTTGCTGCGTAGTAATTGGAAAATTGTTATCAAGAATAATAAAGAATATTTGCCACTAAATTAAAGCATTTACTTACAAATTTTCATTTATGCTTTTTGTTAAAAAAATATTGATAAAGTTATTATTTTGAAGGGTTTTCATTCCAGAACTATTTATTACAGACGTACGTACGTATGCCAAACCTGATTACCGCGGCAGTATGACGTCACGGAGTAGTGATTTAAACAAAAATCAAGAATTTTTCAGAGAATTATTATCTTTACAAATTGCAGATATGAAATTAAAGAATGAAAATATTTTCATATTGTAAATGTCTGTGATGACTGATGAGTCAGCTTAGAAAAGATCAAGGTACTATTTTTTGACCTGATTACCGCGGCAGTAAGATTTGACGAACAGTTATTAACATTGGGTCGGCATAGCCTCCCCAAAAACTTACCAATATTATTTGAACTTAATTTTATTCTGTTTTGGAATTCTTATTTGGATTTCATGATGCGTAACAGTGTTGATAATTCAGGTGTCTTGATATAATTTTTTTTGTTGTTTGAGTTGTTTCCCTTGTTTTCCCGCAATATCACTAGTTTTGTCTATGTTTAAGCGGCTTTGTTTGTAAAAAGTTCAAAGTGTTCTTAATTTATTGGAAATATGGATTATTGATAGTTGGTCAGTATTATTTTGAGTTGCATTTGGTTTAAATTAGTGTTTTATAGAGTGTATGTCATAGATGATTTTTTAATTAAGTAACGAGTGTGGTCTGATTCGAAATGTCATCAGTTTTCGTGATTTGGAACCTTTGAGAATTGTTTTCAGAAAAATCCGTTAATCTAGCTCTCTGTTTACTTAATCTCACAATTTATTCATATCACTTTGCACATTGCAATTTTTATATTTTGCAGAAGTTACAGCAGAGAGAGAGAGAGAGTTTGACAGTATGCGTGTTTGAAGAAGATAATGCTTTTATTGGTACATTCAATTCCACGAACTGGTGAGTTTAGAATTTATTTATGATTATGATGTATTTTATAATAACTTCATTAAATGAACTTATGATTGTGGCGGCCAATAGAAAGCATATAGCTATATTATAAGTTAATATACCTACAGGTTAAGTAAGCTGTTCAATGTGTTGTAAATATTTAATACACCGATAAACACTTTCAGAACTAGCAGACGAGAGGCTTTTCTTATCAGTAGTTTTAGGAATAAAGATAACTGGTTGTTTTCTCACTGTATAAATTGTATGTAAAATGGTCTGACATGTGGTAGGGTTAACTGTTCATTTGAATACTTTGTGGAGTCAAAAGATGTGTTGAAGAATATACTGTGATGAAGCTAAGATCCAACGTTTGCTATTGGTGTAATTCATTTTAAAAGCGGACATTTAATCAGAACGAACTAGTGGTTTTGTTTAAGCATAAGAGATATCAATTTTACTTGAAGATAAGGGAAGCAACTTGTATTTTTTCACTTGATATACCTCGGTTATTTACGTAGATCATATAGAAAGTGTGAATGGGTTTATTGTAATTGACCATAAATTTGGAGGTTTTTATTTAAATGATAATTATGCATTTCAGACAATGGAAATTGATTTAGCTCTATTTTTATGTTGATGTAATTTGTTTAATTTCAGAGTGTTGATTTCCTCGATTTCATTGACTCGATGATTCATTCTTTGATTTCTAATGATCAATCAACTTATTGATTTACTGATTGATTGGACATGTCATGGAGCTTAATATAGATGGAGAAGTAACTTAGACGTCATACAGTTAAATTCAGTATTATTGGAGTTGTTCTAGTGCAAGTTATCATGTGTTTCGGGATTTTCCAAGATTTGATGCATCCTGGGTAATAGTAGCCAAAATACCACCATATTCAATTCCAAGAGGAACATTGACAAAAAAAGACTAAGCATTTTCCTTACTTACATAAGAAGCAATAGTTATTTATGTTAAAACGTACCATACACACTTTTCCAAGAA